CAGCGAGAGGCAGCAGCGTCCAAGCTCTGATACCACTGTTGGTAATCCGGACCGGCTCAGACCTCAATCACCAATAGCCCAAGGGCTAGCTCACATCCACCACCAAGGTTGCAATAGGGAAACTGAAGGACAACAATCAACTACCCTCACTCACAGTACTTAAGCCCCAACCCAGAAGCCCCACCGGTGGAGAAACTCACCACACAACCAGAACCAGAGTGAAGACCCCCAAAGGAACCCCAAAGCGTCACCGGAGTATAACCGGAGCTAAAGCTCAGGTGAGGCTGGTACTCTCTCACTCTAGGTCTAGGATAACAGGCTGAGAAGCTCATCAGATAGAGAGAAGGAGAAGCGGAAGAAATAGGAGGTTCGAGAAAGAACCAGACAAGTATATCAAGGGCCACAAAAGTCACGGGCTGGGTAGAATACAAATAGGGGGAGTGGGCTTGGTCGGGTAGGCAGCCCAGATGGGTCAGGACAATTAAATAGGAGACCAACTCATTAAATGAGGTAGACCAAAGGCAACACAGGGATGGCCCGGGTGAGGTGGACCAATACCATCTATAGATATTTTTTTTAAGTTTGAGGATTCGATTGGATGATTTTAGAGTACGAGGCCTTAATTGACGTTTTTGACATAATACGAAGACTTATTTGACATTTTCCCCAAACTTAATTGATGGACTGGAATAAGTTGGGCTTTTGTAATAAAATATTATCTCCGTCCCGAAAAGAAATTCTCATTTTTATTTCATGGATGTCCCAAAAATAAGTTTTCATTTCTATAAAATGAAACCACTTGTATCTCAAAACTCACAGTCATCCTTACTTTTTACCCATTTTTTGCTTGATTTGATACAAAGTAAGGGTAAACTTGGAAAGTCAAAACAAAATCTACCTTACATAAATATGTGTGTAGGACAAACCGGAACTTCATTTCGGTACGGAATGATAGTAGCCCTAGTCCGTCTATATAGTTTAGTTTAAATTGTCGAGCTGGCCAGCCCACATGTTTAATTTAATCTAACTACCGAGTATTAATTTAGTTGACTTTTTTTGCCCATATTTCTTCGTTCTGCAATTATGCAGCAGTCGACATCTTTGCATCTCCAACCACAATAGTGGAGCAAATGACCACATAATCAATAATCATGATGATGATGATGATGATGATGATGATGATGATGATGATGATGATGATGATGATGATGATGATGATGATGATGATGATGATGATGATGATGATGATGATGATGATGATGATAATAATAATAATAATAATAATAATAATAATAAGATCAATGCTCAAATGTCGATTATGCAGATACACATAGTCAATTATTATACGGAGAATAATAAGAGATTAAAACAAATAAACTTACCTCAACGCTAAAAAAGGGTAGACATTCAGCCACTATCAATCCTGATGGAATAATGGGACTAGGCCTACAGCCTGGATTAATGAACCCGCGATTTCAGGCACATGATCTTGACCAGCATGCCCAAGCCCAAGTCCATTGTCTCACTAGGCTAGGCCCAACAAGTAGAGTTTGAGCCGGCCCAACAGATCAAGAGCATCAAGGAAGGGGAGTTCAAAAGAGCCGAAGTCTAGCTGAGCGGAAGCCCAAGACGACCTGTCTACTGGCCCAACCGAGAGTCTGCCTCCAATCCAACGGGGAGCCTGCCTCCAGCTCGGCCAGGAGCCTACCTCCGGCCCAGTAGGGGGCCAACCGTCTAATTCAGCAGGAGGAAGCTCAAGCGTCCGACCAGCCAGCCTGAAAAAGTAACGGTCAAAATAATTGATGCACTATTTAAGAAAGAATTGCCCGAATATTACATTACAAGTTTCCGTTTCTAATAATATAACTAATCTCAGATTTTCCAAAAAAGTAATTGTTCCGTCCCTTCATTTTCTCACCCGCAGGCCGCACCAGACCTCCATCTCCAGGGCGCTTCTTCTTCTTCCTCTCATCCACACCAGGACTCAAGGCCAGACCAGCGATTTCAAAGCCCATGGCAACGCCATCGTCTCCTCTGCCGCTCCTCTCCTCCGCCGCTTCGTTCCGAAATTTCAATTTCATGCGCGACGAAGAAGGCAAATCTACACATCCCAGGTCTTTTCGTCTTTCTTCTCGCTGGTGGTTCTACGTTGGTGGAGACGGTTTGTATCTGTCGGATCCACCGTCCTCGAAGTCAGAGAGGGGCCTGAACAGCCGGACCGCCTCTTCCTTCCCTGCTTCGCCGCCGCTGCTTGGCCGACTCTTTGTGGTTTCAGATCTGGGCGGTGGGCGGCTATGGGGGTGGGCTGACCTGCTAGAGAAGTGTCTATGAAGCTATCCGCTGGGGCTGGGGGCTGTGGAAAGGCGGCTAAGTGTGGCAGAGGGCTGGGTGGGGCAGGGGAGTGGGTTGGGTGAGGGCTGGGGTGACAGAGGAGGGGCTGGGGTGATGTAGGGGAGGGGGCTGGGTGAGGCAGTGGTTTGGGTGTGGTGGTTGCAGTCGTTGGCCGGAGGCGGTGGCTGCCGGAGCCGATGGCAGGCGGAGGTAATTTGCCGGTGTCACTGTGGCGGTAGCCTGGTGGTCAATATTGCCGGGAGTCACTGCGACCTGAGTCACTACGACCAGAGTCACTGTGGCAGCGGGCGGCAGAATCACTGTGGCGGCACGCGGCGAAGTCACTGCGACCTGAGTCACTGTGACTGGAGTCACTGTGTCCGGAGTCACTGTGTCCGGAGTCACTGTGGCGGCGCAGTCACTGTGGCGGCGGGCGGCGGGCGGCGGAGTCACTATGGCGGCGGGCGGCGGAGTCACTGTGGCGGCGGGGCAGTCACTGTAGTCGGTGAGGTGATTTTGGCCGGAGTCACTTTGCCCGGAGTCACTTTATACTGCAGGGTTAATTGTAATGTGGGTCACATTTTTGGAATTTTTAAAAACAGATCACTTTTTTATCTTTTATCCTATTTTTAGTAATATTAGAATAAAAAGGCCACTATTTAATTATGTATTCAATTCCGTATTAATGTTGTAATTAAATTGACCATTATTACATTTGGCAGTTACCATTTGTAATAATCATCTATAAAAGACAAGTCTGGTTCAAATAATACACAAGCTATTTAAGGCAACTAAAATCCCACAAGCACTTTCCATTTTCGTACTTGCTATTTCCTGCTAGATTGTTCTATCATAGCTTTGTCGAAAAGCCTACGAGCGTCCATTTTTGAACCAACAAGTCCATTACATAGTCGCACTAGAAAGGCTATTCCTGCTAAAGTCAATAGCAATTGTATGATTTTTCTTCACAACTAAAAAATGGACAATAGAGCTGAGAGTCTAAGGCCTAAATCTTAATAACCTTAGGAACAACAGCTGATTGGATATTGTAAACTTGTAATGGGAGATCATTTTGTGTAACTAACTAATGCTTTTCTTTTTACTTATGGAAATGACGCCATTACACTTGAAGAAAGTAAAAAAAAGTGCAACTTCATCATTAATAGCTTGGCATCTCTAGTGACCAATGAGGAAAAACGAGGTAACGACAAATGCGGTTGTCGAAGGACTAGGGGTGGGCAATTCGGTTTACGGTTCAATTTTCTTCGGTTTCGGTTTGGTTTCGGTTTATTCGGGTTGGGAGAATTTGTACCAAACTAAAACCATTTGTGTTTCTTTAGTTTGGTTTGGTTTTGTTCGGTTTTTATCGGTTTCGGTTCGGTTTAATACGGTTTGAAAGAAATAGTACCAAACTCAAACCAAATTGCATACGGTCCAGTTTAGGTTCGGTTTAGTTCGGTTTGGGGCAGTTCGGTTTGGTTAAACCAAACCATTATGCCCACCCCTACGATTCCCTACGAAGGACCAAGGGCACCGAGCCACCGACTAACCTAATCCCTATATATAGTTTGACCACTCCGGTGAAGAGGCAACTCTGGGACCGACTCACCCCTCCCGCCGATGGCCACCCGGTTGACTAATTTTAGGAAAGGGTAATATTCGTAAATCGCAAGGCTTTAAAAAGGGGTAGACGGGTAGTTTTGCCATTCGGTCAAATTTTAGTCATATTCACAAGAATAACTTGGAATACTATTTGAGCCCAGCAACTATTTTAGTCCAAGACATGTCTTTTCCGAAGAACAATTTAGTGTCTAACTAACAAAGTAACAAAGCTAATTGCCAACATCATCGCCCAGTCAAAGAACGACATTGCATTTTTTGCATTCTGGCCGAGTTATATTGCATTATTCAGACAAGTCAAAACTCAAAAGGGCAAACATTTGATGTATACAATTTGAAATCATGTTCATATATCTCCTCCCACTCTCTCTCAAGTGTCACTTCAGCTTAGGGGTGGACCAGGCCCAGGTCAGGACCGGGTCCGGGTCGGGCTTTGGGCGGGATCGGGTCTGGGAACTGGAGGCCCGGTACCAGCTCGGGTAGGTTCCTACCCCCCACCCCCAAACCACCCAGCCCCACCCACCTAGCTCCCAAATTACCCAATCCATTCAAAAAAAAAATTGGGCCCAGGTCAGTCCATCAATTTGGGTGCCCGTACGCCCCAAAACCCCTTCGGCCCTTCCGGGTCGGGCCCAAGGCCTGGTCCCGGCCAACCGGTTCCAGCCGGTTCAGAACAATGTCAGGCCGGGCGGGTCAACGGGTCGGTCAACTCAGGCCCGGTCCATCCCTACTTCAGCTTCATAATATGGACAATAAATAAAGTGATAGACAGAGTGATATATTGGAGTTGGCCAGAACAAAAAAATCTGGGAAAAAAAATTATGCGAGTTTTTCACCCTAAAATTAAATTAAAATTAAAATTTGGGATGGGCTGAGGACTAGGTTGCCACCTCTGACTAAGCCTCAAATTATGGCGCACAAATGCCAGTTCATTCTTCATCTAACAAAACCTTATTTCTCCCAAAAGTAGGGCTTGAGAATTATATAAATACACATCACCCATAGTTATCTCCCCTTCCCTTCATTCCTTCAAGAGTCAAGACCCATAGCAGATATCAACTTCATCTTCAACAAAAGAAATTTCTTTTCACAATTTTCAAACCATATAAAAAAAGACGGCTACATTTAGATATAAGACTTTTTAACAAAAAATTAATACAAGGGTATAGAAAGTAGTAACACACAGAGTAAACACAGCCTAATTCAAAACCCACAATAATAACACATAAGATCCCCAGAACTTTGAGAGTAATCACAATTATCGAGCAGGCGTATGAGGGCAGCAGTGTGAGGGATTTCTACTTTTTGTAAAAGGCGTATTAGTGCCACAAGTATGCTGGTGATGATGGGGCTTTCTGTGCCAACTGTCATCAAAAGTATATATTTACAAAACAGTAACAACAGAATAACAATAGTCAATAGCACTGGCGGCGGTGGTGGCCGTGGTGGTTAATAATAGGGGGAATTGGACTTGACACCCCACATTTTCATTCAAATTTGAGTTTGAATCCCATTTTATAATTCATTAAAATTTGTAATGCAAAAGTTGTGGTTTGCATCCCATTTTTCCTTTTAAATCTGAGTTTGCACAACACGTTGAACAGATATTTCAAACGCCAGGTGCAGATACAGGAATTGAAGCATGATGTGAAAACTCAAATTTCCATGAAAAAGTGGGATGTAAAGTAAGTCCAATACCCCATAAATAACAACCCCACACTCTTGAAAACCATATGCCCCGAAGCCCCTAATAAATGGCTGCAGCACGCTTATGTCATGTCATTCTATTTTGACCTGGGTCGGCCAAAATTGCACCTAAATTTACAAAATCCTGGCAACTGACAATTTGTAAAACAAATTAGCGAATCAGCAACTAACCATTATTAAAGATTGGCCAAGACAGGCACTGAAATTGCATAATCTGTGATTAAATTGACAACTTTATAAATACTGTCCAAAATTACAATATATCATAAAGGATCGACCAGCCTTGCTTGTTATAAGAAAATTAAAACCCCATGAATAACATACCTACCTCTTCATCAGGAGTATTAAGCAGCAAGTTTCTCTTGTTCTTCTGGTAACGATTTTTCCCACCTTTGCCTATACAGAGTAACACCTTGAATCAAATTTTCTCAAATAACTCAGCTTCTTACATTCTTTTAGAGACTTCTCAAGTAAAAAAGTTCGGTACAATGATTAAGAAACACAAACAAATCAGAATTCCCACTAAAAAAATTGTGCATGTTCACACACACAGAGATACATATATATACCTACATAAATATTGGTTAACTTACATGTGTGTAATACGCATTTACGCCTAACGATATTGGCCATAAAATTTGTAGGAAAATATATTTGGGTGAAATGGTTTGAGTCCTATGTGGTTCTCGCTTGCTCACATCACCCCAAGAAGAAACGCAAAATTCAAAGCCATCTCCAATTACTCATATTGCATAAAAAATCAGACCGTGCACCTCAGCAAATTAATCATATCAGTAAACAAAATTAGTTCTTATTTCTTTGTGCCCATCATAGATTTCTCTTTGCTTCTCAGCAGAAGGTAATGTTCCGCCTTGGCTCATCTACAAGCTAGTTTTCCCAGTAACGGACCAGGTTCGTTACAAACTGAAAATGTGAAATTACGAATCCTTCACATGCTGATGATGAGTTTGTAATTGTAAATGTTGGGGAAATTGAAACTGCTGGGAGTGAGATAGTGGCACTAGGATCACACTCCTGCTAATTTTACTGTTCACATGGGCCACAGGGCATTCAATGAAATTCATAAAAGATGAATAAGAGAGAACTAGGTAATGATTACTTTAGCTGTTCTGGAGGTATTTCATGGAATTTCATTGGAAAAAAATACTAAAGTTCATTATGGACTATACATTTCACACAATGAGGGTTGCTCTTTGGAGGGGGGATAGGGATCTGCCGAGCAACTCTTAATTGCATCAAGAAGCACTAAATTTATATACATTCAAATATGATTACACTTTCGGTAGAATAAACAGGGTTCTTGTTTCCCATTCTATGTCAACTCTGTATCCTGAAGCTTAAAGGTGCTGGGAAGAAGCATGATGGGCAATAATAAATTATGGCTTTATCTAAGTTTGAGTTTGCTGTTGGCACATAGTTTAAGAAAACAAATCTTTGTGTTTGAGATTTACTTAGAATGGAACCACATAAACCTAAATAAAAAATAGTTGCACAAAAACCATTTTGTTTAATATATTACTCCCTCCGTCCCCCTAACTTTGTCCCGTTTTACCTTTTTCGTCCGTCCCATTAAGTTTGTCCCATACCATATTTGGTAATATTTGGGTGGCTACAATTCATTCTTACTTTATTCAAACTTTATCAATTGAATACCAATCACACATTGCTACTTTTTCTTTAAAATAGCACCACACCCCTTTGTCCCAAACATATGGGGACGGAGGTAGTAATATGTTTCTCCATATTTTCTCCCATGTCAAAAAAAAGTCACACATACATGTTTTTCATCAACAAACCCATGTCCACACCCGAACCAATAAGATCTTACTAGCATATTTATATTGAAGACTACAATTTGAATTGCATACCTATTATTATCAGTATCTTTGTGCACCCTTGGTTTTGCAACCGTTCTTGATTCGGGCTTCCAGCAGGCCTTGGTCAGCGACTCCCCTAATAACTCCGCAACACCCGCAGCCATCGCCTCTGCCTTCTGAAAGTATGGAAACGTCCCTTTTTCAAAGTGATTGGACAACCACATGTAAGTAGACAACACTTGGTGTCTCGTCTCCAGATCCAACAGCTCAGAATCATTTCGGGCAGAACACTTGGGCATTCCCATTGCTATGTTTACAGGCAAGCTCTGCCCATATGAAGATGCAAACCTTAACAAATGGTACATTGCTTTTGGGTCTCTGATGTTTACAGGCGCGAAACAGAAGTTGAAACGGTCTTCTAGAGACAATCCAGAGACTTTTTCCAGCATATTAGCTATTTTCTTTATGTGGCTATGGTTACACAAGAAATAAGAACCATCTAACCGGCAATTGGCTCCAAATTTTTCCAGAAGTTCAGAGAAAGTGGCATTTGGAAGCTGCCCAGCAAACAGTTCAACCTGTTCAACGGAGTGGAAAATTGTTTTTTTTATATGATGGACTTCACCTTGGTAAGTACAAAAGAACAAAATATGATCAGCTATTTTTAAGTGTTTACATACATTTAGATACTGTAGTCATAGAAATCGTTTTTCATTTCCGCCTAAAAATTACTTTAACTGAATCCCCTCAACTTTCTGTTACAGGCGTTGTTGGAAGGTGAAAAGAAGAAGATAGAAAAGTATGGTAATTGAAAAAATAACACAGCTTTCCAGCCTAGGCAAGCAAGTGTTCTGTCGGTTCCACCGAGCGCACAAGAAGAATTATTTCTCCAAAAGATTTATCAATTTATTATTAAATATAGCACCTCTATTTATACTATTCCAAGAGTCTTGGTGACCTAGTATTAGTGTAACCCTAATTCTATTACAACACTTCTACTAGGAATATGAAATAAAATAGAATGATAATATGAATCATAAATGTGGTGGTGGTGGAGGCAGTCGGGGCAACGATGGTGATTGTGATACTTAAATAACAACTGGCTTCTTACATCCATATCCCTGGCCTCCCTATTTTCTTGGGAGAAGGTGCAAATAAGCCCATGTACTAACCAAAAAAGGTCAAATAAGCCTTTATTTAGGAGGCTCTGTCCGGCCGTCGTCATTTGGGGTGGTTCCCGTTGGAATTTTTTTATGAAATTTTTTGAGCATCTTATTCATTAAGTCTAATTTACTCATACCAAATTTCAGCTAAAACTTCAATCGGGAAGACATTCAAATGAATTCTTGAAAATAACTGCGCAGTTAGAAGCGCAGCTATCTTCAAGAATTCATTTGAATGCCTTTCCGATTGAAGTTTTAGCTTAAATTTGGTATGAGTAAACTAGACTTGATGAATAAGATGCTCAAAAAAATTCATCAAAAAATTCCACCGGGAACCACCCCAAATGACGATGGCCGGACAGAGTCTCCTAAATAAAGGCTTATTTGCCCTTTTTTGGTTAGTACATGAGCCTATTTGCACCTTTTCCCTATTTTCTTTCCCTAGAATTTTACATGATCTAAACAAACACTTGAGTATGATTTGAATAGTTAGTGAAGTGAAAATTAAGACCAATTTAGGGAATCAACTCATTAGGCGTTGTTTTCAAGAAAGTAGCTCGGTGTGGAACAAAAATCATAAAAGATTAATTCTTATACGCATTGTTCTAAAAATCGTTTTAGGCGCCCGTCTAGTCCCGTCTAGGCGCTAGGTGGTGGCCAGACACCTTGATTTTAGTCTAGGCGCTCCGACTAATTGATTTGGCGCCTAAATGAATTAGTCGGCCGCTTGGGGTGCCTAATTGCCTGCCCAGAGCGCTTAATAAGCCGCCTAGGCATCTAGATTTGTCGAACATTTTATTTTACTTTTTGGTTTAGTATCTAAGAGATATATGTACCTTTAACTTTAACAAATGCATATGAAGAAAGCTATTAATCGTAGATTAAAATAAAAACTATACATATTTATATGTAATTCTTCCATCATTTGCAATGGAGCCAAAGATTCTCTATTTTTTGGCTTATGAATATGATGGAATAAAGCAAAATGACTCACTAAACTGTCTGCGTTTCTTTATTATGAAGCAGCAGTCAGCTCATGCAATTTCTGACGTGATTTTCACCATGGATCCATACTTGTCACGGCGTTAAGTCGAGTCGCGGCGCCAGCCGACCGCCATATTGCCTAGGCGATAAGGCGCCCGCCTAGGCGACAACTAGGCGACTAGTCGCCTATATATGTATAATATATTATATTATATATATAATTATATATAAAAATATATATAATTATATATTATTTATATTATATTACTAACTAAATTGTATATAACTTAGAATCAAAACACACAATTAATTAATAATTAAAAAACTTTTTATTAATGAGAATTAAGATTTATAATGTCTATCTCATATTTGTATATCACAAGTTTGGCACACTATCACCATGTTCACCGTATGTAATATATTAATGGTTTTATAGTTGTGTGTGTGTATATATATATATATATAATAATTATATATACCACTTAATTAATAAATATATTAAAAAAATAATTCCACTACACCGCTTGAGAATAAGAGATGAGAGATAAGAAATCTGTGGACTCAAGTCACTCAAGTGGGCCTGTATCTAGTCGTCTGCTTCAAGCCTTCAACGACGGACTGGAAAATGGCGACTGACGAGACCGGCGACTTCTTCTGCTTCCTGAAGATGGTTCGTCGTTTCGTCTGAGTTCTCTACGACTTTGCTTCGAGCTTTGTATTTAATTAGAAGGCCATCGGCCCACCGCCTTAAATCATTAATTAAAGGAGTTCTCTAAAAAAAATTAAACCTTAACCTACTCAATTTTGGGCCTGCGGAATGTGGATGACTTTTCGACTGGGCTAAAGTAGGCGGCTACAGGTCGCCAACTTCACGCCTAGATGACGCCTGGACGACGCCAAACGCGACTGGTATTCTTCCGGCGAGGCGAGCTTACCTGGCGAGCAGTCCCCAGCGCCAGGACGCCTAGTGGGCGACTAGACGACGCCTAGGCGACGCCGTGACAAGCTTGCATGGATCATCCGGAAACAGTCTCTCCGTGCTTTAGAATAGGGATAAGACTGCGTACATCCGACCCCCCTTACCCCACCGTAGGTGGGAGCCTTTGCGGCACTGGGGTAATGATGATGAATGAATGTTTATATGTAATCTTATGTGTTATAATTATTTAATAATATTTATTACATAATGAAGTTAAGTGAGTAGGTATTATATATTACTAAATGTGATAACTCTATGATTCACGCATGTCAATGTGTATGTGTGTGTTTATTTTTTACACACAAACACAAAATTACTAATCATATTTATGCAAAAATATTTATAAAATATAATTTCTACGTCTCCGACTAGTCCCGGCCTAGGCGCTGGGCTGGTTTCCGACTAGCGCCTAGCGCCTTCTAGAACATTGGTTATAAGTATGACGTAAGTTTGCACCACCAAAATAAAAAATACAAAACTTTAACAAGATTTTTTTTATGTAATATTTCCCCCCCAAAATCAAGATAGCACACTCCACCGAAACACTTTACTAATTATGTGTCCTTTGAAAACTGCCAGGCTATCAGTTCACAAACTGCTTAAAGAGAGGAAAGTGACAGGCCTCCTTAATTTATCAAAAGGTTCTCCAAACACTCAATCAAATACTCTAAATCCTCTAGATCTAAATAATGATATTAAAATTGTAGAACTAAATAATATACTACGTATGTAATTTTTAGAAATAGCAAAAACTACAAAATGTCTTCGTGTGTGTATTTAATTCCAAACAGTTCAGTCAGCAATACATCAGCGGTTGATTGTGGTGATCTTCCTGTTTAAGTCAGTAATCTAAAAGGCAAACCACTATGGATGTGAGTTCATTCGAACTAAAACTGTCAAGGACGTAAATGAAGACTTTCTTATTTTACACACACAATATTACTTTTTTATTCAGTTGCCGATTTATGGAATATGTCCCTATATGTGTCTTTGTGATCTGTAATTACGGTTTCAACAGGAAGACTTATTTGTATAATACATACATACATGCATACACACACACATGTTCCTGTCAAGAATTTCTTGACTGGAACACCGTCTCATAGTCACATAGTTCGCGGAACGCTTCGGTACGGGAACGAGGAACGGGAACGCGGTTCGCTAGGTCTAGCGTATCCGGTTCGGAGGGGGGTAGGTTCATTTCGGTACGCGTTCGGTACGGTGTTCCTTACCTTCAGTACGCAGTACCTTATGTTTGGTACAAGAATAAAACATAATTACAGATTTCATAGCATTAAATAAAAGCAGATTTCGTAATATACTTTCATAACAATAAACAAAATAAAAAAACATTAATATTATAGAAACTACAGAGTAATTTATAAGAGTTAGAAAATCGTAGAGTTGTACAAGCCTTTTGGATCAGAAAACTAAGAGGCTGGAACAAAAACGTACACCTGTACAAGCCTCTGGAAACGAAGCGCTCTTAGAGTTGGAAATTGTGCGTTTGATAGGAACGACGAGTCAGAGTGCCAAAAGGGTGTTGCTGGGAAATCGCTTTGGGGAACGACTTGCAAACCATTCCCGATCGAACAGAAAAACGATTGCGATCGATTTGTAAAGCGATTGTTATCGATTCGAACTGCAATTAGGATCCAGTAGCCAAGCGTACCGCATCGCGTTCCCTTTAGCGACTGGATCGCTTTCGTACCGCGATTGGGTACGGAGCGATCAGTTCGCAGATCGTGGCTCTTCTAGCGATCTATGTAACTATGCACCGTCTAGCCACCATAAAAAAATTCCACCCGGAAGCACCTCAAATGGAGGTGGCCGGATGGCGTTTCAGTTAAGAAACTCCTAACCGGAAGATTACTTATATATAGGGAGCGGTTCTGGTGAGAAAGGACTCCCAGGAGAGAGAGAAATGAGAAATGAGAATAAATGTGGTCCATTGGATTGTCCTATGTGAAACTGAATTGTGCAATAGATAAAACTGAAATGTGCATTATGTGAAATTGAAATGTACAAAATAAAAGGTAAAACTGAAATTGGCATTAGGTGAAATTGAAATGTGCAGAAATAAATGTCACCGCATCATACCTTTTATTCTGCACATTTCAGTTTCAAGATAATTTTTTTCATATACTATTAATTCATTACATATAACTTATAAAACCAAATATATAGCTTTTACACAATTTAAATTATTTCACAGTTTTCCGCCGAATACACACTTCTACCTGATCCGCTCCCTATATAATATGTGCGCGCACGCGCGTGTGTGTATAGGGTTTAGGATTTCATACACGAAGGTTTCTGATAAAAACAGAAAAATAACAATCAACGGGGTAAACCATTGCCCAGAATAATCAACGGAAGAATCCGTTGCCCAAGCTAATTTAGCTTAACAAATCTGAATTTTATTGATGCTCGACTGAATAACCCTGCGTGGGTATAAATAATGCTATCCTAGTATCGTACTAGGAACATTTAAGTTCTAGTAGGAAACCAATAAGCTAATTAATTAATTGTACGTAGCTAGCCTATCCTATTGGGAAGCATACTTGCGCATAAAGCCTAAGGGGAAGGGAATTCCATACGCACAAAGCCTAAGGAAATTCTAATAAAATAAATAGCAATAATAAAAGAACTAACATAATTGAAACTAATTAAATTAAAAACTCAGCCCATAACCGGCCCACGGAAGTGGGCCCAAGCCCGGTCCCGCCCCATGCTCTTTCCGCTCTCTATCAATCCATCCTCCTTCAAAATAACCTTGTCCTCAAGGTTGAAATCTCGCAAGTCGAGGACTGAAATTTCCAGCCATAGAATAGACTGAAAAATATCCTTCATCTCCTTCCTGAACCTTTTCCTGACCGGTTATTTCACAGTACTCATGCTGTTGGAGGTCCAACTCCTCATCTTCCTCAGCTATCATTACCCGCAACTGCTTAAAGGGGCAATTATGCCCCGGTGTAAACGGTTTCTTACACTTAAAGCATAATCCTTTCGCCTTCAAATCTGCTAACTCCTTTGGCGCAAGACGGGTGAACTGAGAGCGTGTCGTAGGCTGCCCAGACAGCCCTAACTTCATCCCCGGAGGCTGTCCACTATCTTTCGCAAAGCTGCCCCTTGATCCCTGTAAGCTGCCACCATTGGCAGACAATGGAGGACTCGTGTTTGCCAATATAAAGCTGCTGGAACGTACCTCTGACGAATGATAACTTGGACTGCCACTTCCTCCACTTAGGACGGACAGATTATGCTCCACATCGAGCGCTAATTCCATGGCCATCTCTAGGTTATCCGGACGTAATAAGCGCAATGAACTTCGGATTTCTTCCTTAAGTCCACTCATGTAGTAGCCCAAATAATGATCGTCAGTCAATCCCGGAACTTGGCTAGCTAGCTGAACAAATAAGATATTATAATCCTCCAAAGACCCAACTTGTTTGACTCCAGACAGTTGTTCAAACCTATTCCCTTGAAATCGGGAATCGAATCTGGTCACCAGGGCTTGCTTGAAATCTTCCCAGGTCATACCGGTACCGGACTTGCGTGACTTCAGCCAGGTTACCCAATAGAGCTCCCCCTTCCATGGCTACCACAGCGGCAGCCACCTTTTTCTCCGGTAGGGTGTCATTTAACTCAAATTGTTGTTCTGCCCGAGCAATCCACCCGATCGGGTCCCCTCCATCAAAAGCAGGTAACAACGTTGGAGTGGTGATGCGCGGTAGACCGTCGCCGCTGGTTGCTGTCACGGCTGTACTGCCGACCGCGGCCGAAGAGGACGCCGGAGAGACCGGCGGCACTAGTGCCTGCGTCAGCGTTGCCAGGGAGGCGGCAATTTCAGCCAATTTCACGTCGTGATCTTCCAAGAGTGTTATTCATTCGATTTTGCTCCATCTCCATCCGGGCTTGTTCAGCCCCCAGTCGGGCTTGCTCCTCTCTCATGCGATTTTGTTCGGTCTCCATCTCTGTCAATCGATCGTTCTGAGATCTTGTCATCTTGGCGGGACGGGATCCGACAGGTCGGACCAATTGATAAATAACAATTGGATAATAACAATCAACGGGGTAAACCGTTGCCCAGAATAATCAACGGAAGAATCCGTTGCCCAAGCTAATTTAGCTTAACAAATCTGAATTTTATTGATGCTCGACTGAATAACCCTGCGTGGGTATAAATAATGCTATCCTAGTATCGTACTAGGAACATTTAAGTTCTAGTAGGAAACCAATAAGCTAATTAATTAATTGTACGTAGCTAGCCTATCCTATTGGGAAGCAGACTTGCGCACAAAGCCTAAGGGGAAAGGAATTCCATACGCACACAGCTTAAAGAAATTCTAATAAAATAAATTGTTAGGGACCTACTTAGAAATAATAATAAATAGAATAGTGAGATTAATAGCATTTTCTGTTATTAGCTATTAACTATTGTTGGCTGAGCTGTAGGTCTATAAATAGAATAAAGCTGATAAGAAGAGGAGGCTGTTTTAGACATTTAGTCTTGGGGTTGGAAATTGAGAGACGAGCTTCTCTTTCTTTTCATTTGGGGGCTTCGGCCAGTTGCCTAAGGAGATTTCAATAAAGGTTGCCTTGAGTTCTTGATTCAATTCTGTGATCTGTTAGACTAGAATTGCAGGTTTTCTAACATTGGTATCAGAGCGGTTGATCGTTGTTGATGGTATTGACGCGCACGAAGATTGAATCGAGATTAAATCAACTGGAGAAGATGATGTCCGAAGTTCTTACAAGACTGGATGTGCGAGACAAAAGTCGATCGCGAAGTAGATCGCACGCATCAACTTCATCGCATCACAACTCGCATCGAACTTCGCACCATAAACAGTCGCGACACTCAGCGAGTTCTGAGGAATCGGAAAAGCAGAGGAGCAGAGGACCGATAGATCTATCGAGGAAGACTCTTCCGCTACCTGACAAACGAGGTTTGTCGCCATCGCTCACCAGTTCGCAGACTGAATCGCGATCTGTTTCTTTTAGTTCACAATCGCGAACTTCTTCTTACCCTTCGCAGACTTACTCACCTGCGATCATTCCGCGTCCAAGAAAGACACGAGTGAGAGGAGAATCGTCATCGTCTCCAATTGATTCTCACGAGCCGTCTTCTTCCTCTCAAGCCGTTTTTCTGAGTGCGCAAACAATTTCTTCTGGTCTTCTGGCTTTGACGCAAGCAGAAGTCTCCAGTTCACAAGTTTCTTTAATTCTGGCCATCGCATCAGAAAAGGGATCTCCAGGGACTACACCAACAACCATAAACACAGAATTGGAACCGGTTGTACCTTCAGTTAAGGAAACAGACCCTGAAGAGGAATGCAATGATAAACCATCAGTTAATCTTGAACCTGAAGATGGAGCAGTTGTTGGATTCCCCAGACATAAGATTTATTCCAAGAATGATCTGGGCCAATCAGACCTTGAAACCAATATGTTCAAGCTTCTTCAGGAAGGTGCTATTTCTTCTCATCCTATGCAGCAGATGAACTGGAAAAATATCTTGAAGACTGAAATGATGTGTTGTCAGTCCTTGAACATTAAACTGAAAAGATTAAATAAGTTTGATATTCCTAGATTGGAAGAGGTTACTTCTATGAAAAATATACAAAAAGAATTGGTGAAGTATATATCCATGAAGAAGTATACAATTTTGGTTTGCTGGAAGAAGTATGCAGGTTACGAGGCAAGAATTAGTGCTTTGGATAAAATTGTGGAGGTAAATGAAAGGGCTGATCAAGGAATGACAGATTCTCTAGACATGTTGTTGCACCACTGTGTAATTTCTACAAACCATGGAGATCGGGAAACAGCTAGAAGATTGTGTGAAGGAGAGTACACGTGTGTGGAAACAGAATGCGTACTATTTTCCTTGGAAGAAAAATACCACAAAAAGGGGTATATTCTTAGCAGTTTGGGGAGTGGTGTGTCCGTACGCGATATAGGACATTTAACTGAAATTCCTCCCAAAAGCAAAGATTTTGGATTGAAATGGACAGAGAAGTTGGCTCTTGGTAGCATTGTAGAAGGAAAAGTTTCTATGACTGCCCTATTAAGAGGCTCTCCCAAGTGTTTGACTAAAGATGATGATGATTGTAAGTCCTACTGTTTGGCTAAAGATGAGGGTGGTTGTAAGCCATGTTGCCCAAAAAGCAAAGAAGATATAGCAGAATTTCCTTCCGGCAGTTGTATATCCATAGTAGGAACAGCAGCAGATGCTCTAATTGCAGGGAGTGAAGCAACTGAAACTCAAGGACTGGAGCTATATCTTGAAGCAAGAGCTATTAGCAAATGGAAGAGTGAGCAATGGATGATGGGTGAAGATCAGTACCAGCATGAACAAAGACACAAGACTAATATTGATGCTTGGAAGGAAGAAGAGCTAATGCTGATTTTGCTAGAAGCAGTGAGAAGGAAGATTCAAGTCATGAAGTTCATGATCCTGAATTTTGGACGATACTGGGAAGGAAGAGGCGCAAAGATGAGGAAGGAGTTCATCAGAACTGTCCCCTATAACCCACCTTGAGGGCAAGGTGGTTTTCGAAGGGGGAGTATTGTTAGGGACCTACTTAGAAATAATAATAAATAGAATAGTGAGATTAATAGCATTTTCTGTTATTAGCTATTAACTATTGTTGGCTGAGCTGTAGGTCTATAAATAGAATAAAGCTGATAAGAAGAGGAGGCTGTTTTAGACATTTAGTCTTGGGGTTGGAAATTGAGAGACGAGCTTCTCTTTCTTTTCATTTGGGGGCTTCGCCCAGTTGCCTAAGGAGATTTCAATAAAGGTTGCCTTGAGTTCTTGATTCAATTCTGTGATCTGTTAGACTAGAATTGCAGGTTTTCTAACATAAATAGCAATGATAAAAGAACTAACATAATTGAAACTAATTAAATTAAAAACTCAGCCCATAACCGGCCCACGGAAGTGGACCCAAGCCCGGTCCCGCCCCATGCTCTTTCCGCTCTCTATCAGTTTCTTTTGTATAATACTTCTATACTACGTCTATTCTTGAGTAAGTGCAACATGTTGAAATTTACACTATTTACATATGTTACTTTGACTACGTTTTGTTTATTAATGTATCCAAAAATATTTTTTTGAAAAATATTTTTAAATTTTTCTCATGTAAAATTTTCAAAATCTGACTTTTTTACTAATAGAGAATTAAATACATTATTGGTCAAAGTTTTGCATCGGCAAACATGAAGAAGGAAGTGTTCACAAAAAAAGAGAACGGAGCTAGTATATATTTATACTATCATATATAATAGAGGATTAAATAGTTCAACCTGTTCAAAGAAAGGAAATAGGCCGACTTTCTTAACTTCATCAAAAGGTTTCTTTAAGCACTCGATCAAATACTCCAAATCCTCAAGATGCAAAGTGGTTGTCAGCCCTTCTGGAAACCGGCTTCCCCTTCGGCCTGCTCTTCCAGCAATCTGTTTCACCTGTGACGCCGGAACAGGGACAATTTTGTCACCATTATATTTTGACAAATTATAAAAAACAACCCTTCTTATATTCAGATTCAACCCCATTCCCACCGCATCACTGGCCACCAAAACATCATACTCGGTATTCGGATCATTAAACAAAGCCGCCTGATGTCGCCGGGTCTCGGGAGGCAATGCTCCATATATAACACAGCAGCGGTGTTTTGAGAACTTCTCAATCGCCAATTTAACTTCAAATATCTCCCTCCTTGAAAAAGCAACCACACAATCTCCGGATTTCACATTCTTTAAATCACCAAGAAGGGTTTTAGCTTCAACCACTAACGGTTTGAACCGTTCATAATTTCTTTCCACGAGTTCATCCCCAGTTTCAGAACATATTCTTCTAACGATACTCAAAACGCTTGGGTCGCCACATAAGTGTATCTCATCAGCCTTTAGTCCAAGCAAAGCCCTAGTCCATGCATAGCCTCTACAAGAATCAGCCATCATTTGAATCTCATCAACAACTGCCACATCATATAACTCATCCGTGGAAACCATCTCGACTGTACACGCAACGTGGTTAGAGAATGGCACAGATTTCTTCTCTTGACCAGTAAGAAGGCTACAATAAACACCTAGAGAGTTGACTTTATCAAAAACTTCCATAGCTAACAACCTTAGTGGACTACAGTAGATTCCTTTTTTTGCTTCCATGAATCTCTGTAAAGCGTTATATGTTTTGCCACTGTTGGTGGGTCCGCAGTGATATATGATCTTACGTTTCATTGCCCTGGCGAATGGGAACCAAGTGTGTGGTTTTGTTAAATCTGCTGATTCAACCATAGACCTAAATCTTTTGATTTCATCGGGGAATTCCTCAAAGCAGAATTCAACAAATATTGGGAATAAGAATTTTTCGGATTCATGGGAAGGGCCGAGGGATACTAAATATTTAAAGACATCAATCGTAGAGTTCTTGAAGAAGAAAGTACTGAATTTAAGGACTGCAGTGGGGAAAAATGAAGCACCGATAAAAATAGCCAATGCCTGATTTGATGCCCATCCAGATTTCGCAAAGCTCCTGAAAACGTCATTACATGCATCCCAATCCGAGCTGGTTTTCTTGAAGCTCTTCGTGGAATCCCTTAGCTCTCGGTATATCTCTACTGGATCACAGGAAAACGACTCAATCCTATTTTCAGACACAATCTTCTTTTTTTCAGTCTCCCAATTACATGGTTGACCCTCCATGGCTTCCAATGTGGTGGAGCAAGAACCGCCATTTTCAATCTGGGTCGAATATGGGCATTTGCCTAGACTTAAATACCTGAACTTTGTGAATTGGAGGATGTGGGTCTGGAAGAACATACGCGGGTAAAACAATCTAGGTTGGCAGGAAGGGTAATCTTGAAACTTATTTGATTCTGGTGGGTGAGAATGGAAGTATTGGGGTGAAATTTGGAATACTCTGACCCGATAAATGTTTTTTTTGGAAGATAGACAGAGATTAAACAGGAGGTTTCTCGAAGGGCCACTTGCCATTGAAGACAAAATACAACTGGACTAGAAGGGGCCAAATTTAATATGCATAACAATGGATGCATATAAAGAAAAATAAGCGAAATTAAAGGGAAATAGAAAGTAAATGAAGCATACCTCACTTAGAGATGGAGATGAATGTGAATGGAAGAAGAGAAAAGATGTAGGGAATGATGAGGTGACGAACAAAACAAAAACCTTAGATAGTTTGAAAGAAAAAGAGGTGGTTGATGTGGCTTAACAATTTGATAAGATTGGAGATGTTTAACAGCTTGATAAGAAGCACAAAATTTCATGCAGAATTAATTCCATCCCAATCAAATCAAACCATCCCTTCTATATAATCTCACCGTATACAAAACAAGGAAAATCTGGACATTTCCTGCTGAAATATATGGATCAAATATATGCCAAATTCAGGTCAATAGGCAACTTTAATCATCAAAAGGGTCCACAATAAGAGGTGTGCCAGCACCGTATCAGAAAATAATCTTATCAGTACAGTTATCCAAGAAATTGTCTGCCCAATGATTTCTTCAATATCGTGCTATGAAATTAGAAGTTGACCCTTGGAAGGTGTGCTCTGAAATAATGGCAAACCAGCTAGCTCAGTTTTCCTGTACAAATTACATTTAATGGCACAACAAAGAACTCTTATTTAAATATATAACTTAACCTGTATGATGAGTTCTTCTTCCAAATGCACAATTTTTAAAGGTGGTTACCAATCTCCTACATGTTAGTAAAAACAAGGTTAAGAAGGATGAAAATATTCAAAACCAGTCATTCCGAATAGAAATAAAAGGCGGTCGAACCAAAACTGGTTTGATTGTAATGCGATTGTGTTTATAACTTACTTATCCTGAGCGGGAACAGTCTTATATGTAAAATAACTTGAGTTTAAACAAGTTATTCAATTTAAAATGTATCTTGCGTGTGCCTAAATCCAACAATGTAAATGTTAGACACACCACACATAGACATCCAGTGATCCAGTGTTATCAATGGCCGATAGCGGATTACGGCAGATCGCCTAAAAGCGCTCAATGAATATAGCGGATAATTATTAAGGAAAAAAACAGAGGCATAGGGAATCAGGTAAAAGAGGTTACATATCCAATATTTATATTTAAATACTCGATATCATTCTAGATGTAAACAGTAAAGTAATAAAAATATATTCTAGTAACATTATCACACTTAAAAACTTAAAACTAAACTTAGAATCATAGCTTAAAACTAGTAAACCACCAAATTCAGAGTTTTCTTAATATGAAGTCTTAGTAAAGTGAATCATAAGCCAAAACAGCATCCAAGTTTCAACTTCTAACAGCTTCAAGTATCCTTCTTTAATGCCAACATAATCTTTTTAATGACAAGAATTCAATGATATTTTAAAAAAAATCTTCTACATTAACAAATAAAATATAGTCAAAGTAGAGCATGTGAATAGTGTAAAATTCAACATGTTGTGAACATAGAGTGTATGAGAAACTAAGTCTAGGTAGTTAATATAAGCGAGCTAGCTAGGTTGTTTTCATTCTTAAATCTTAATTATCAGTCGATATGTTTTTCTAGGTGGAAACTGGCAAAGGGTCAATATTTCCAGCAACCTTCCATGAGACTACAAAAGGTCCTGATGAATACATTCGACACATCCTAATGAATAATAAAAACCTTCCGGACTTTACACATGACTTGATGATGCTTGTCAGTAATCAACTGCAGAAATTAGGGGTGGATCTAGCATTAAGATCCAGTGGAGGCCAAAATGTAATATACTCCATACTTTTTTTTGGATGAAAGGGGCTTACATTGATAGCATACCATTTAGATAGTAGGTAAAACGACAATAAAACTTATGAAAACCGCCGTCCCTCGAACCAGACTCAGAGTTAATCACCTCAGTAATATAACTCGTTGATCCTTTCATGGGCACAACTGAGCCAATGACAGTAATCGCAGTTAAATCATCACCCACATCCAAACTCAAAACCATCATCTTACAATTGAAAAAATAAAATAAAACAAAACCAAAAAACATCAAACAGTCCAAATAAATAAAAGCAATAAAATAAAAGCCCTCACTGAGTCTTCCAGCGAACATCAGAAAGCACCACCCTGGATCCCCCTTCCGCACCCAAACCGCTGACAAGCTTACCCCTCTAAGCTCGTCTCCTCTCCATTTTTTGTTCCGTCCAGTGCCATCTCATCCCCCCTGGTGCTGCGTTTCCCCTCCCTCCCAAATGCGTATGCGCTTCTATTCCCCTGTTGATTCGTCATTATGTTTCAGAACCACTTCCTTGGATGAGCTACTACCCGAGACCACTGAGTCTTCCTTCTCACTCTTCGCTCCTCCGTCAGACCCATGATTCTCCCAATCCTGCGAAGTGAGCGTGAGCCTCCTCCGACCAGCCATTTATTTCCCGTGGGACTAGTCTTCACCCCACTACCTGCCCTAAAAGACACACCAATCCTTTCTCCAAAACTAACCCTTCCTCATACACTAACAGACAGAATGTCTCTGAGTGACCAATAACACCACAAATAAAGCAAAAGTTTGGCAGTTTCTTATATTGAAAATCCACCCAATACCCAAGAATTAATGAGAATATGTGAAAATTAGAAGCATATATTTACATTAACTGCACATTGACTAAAAGCAAGAGAATCAACAACTTAAAAAAAAAAATGCACAGGTAACAATCTAACGATCTAAAATAACAGTTAGACAGTAAAGTGGTGGTTTTCAGCTTTAAAATGGTGGCAACAATCTAGGGAGCCACCTAGGGATATTCCAGAATTAATAATTCAGAATTCACAATTCACAACAACAACATGAATTGTATCGAACTAAAGATCTAAATCTGAATGCAAACAAGTAACATTATTCACATTAAATCACAGATAACAATTACTCAAGCTGAATTCAGAACTTACAAGAGTCACAACAACCTGAAAGTTCACAAAAAATAAATTCCAGAAATCTAGGGAGCAATATCTCTGAACTCACAATCACAAAAACAATCAAATTCCAGAAATAAAGGCATTAGGCTGAACTAAATAAAATATATCAAAAATAAAACTGAAAGTAAAACACGTACCTGAAAATCCGGAGACCAGAGACTTAGCGAGAAGGAAGTGTAGGAGGCCAGAGGGCGCAGCCGCGCAGGGCGAGACCGTAGGCAGTGGAGCGAATCGAAATAAAGAATTCGGCCGACTCGAAGCTTACCCGCGCAGTCAAGTAGGCCAGACTGCCAGAGTGTTTGCAATTCTGGAAGGAAAAAAAATTGCTTCAAAAAGCTTGTTTTGAAGTAACAATCTCTCTACATAATCTCTCTACATAATTGCAATACTTTGAGGAGGAGCATTTTCCCGCTCAAGTTTTCAGGGTCATTTCAGCCGTACGATTAATTAATATAGATCTAAGCCTTATACACTTCATTCTTTCTCTTCTCATGTCTCATCATTTTCGAGCTCCGGCTTCGATCCTCATCATTCTCCCTCACCACCGGAAACCAAATCCCTCAAAGGCACATGTTCGTCTTGCATTCGCATTTCTTACCTTATATCTTATCGCTGCTCTTATTCCTCTCCTGCTCCACCAATCAAACCTACCCATCTCATGCTTTCTCCCTCACGTACCCCTTTATCTCTTCGCTCTTGGCTCCGATTTGCTTCTGGGTTTTGCCAAATTTTCTGAAGAGGGAAAACCTATGTTGGGATGTGGAGTGTGTGGCGGAATCCTTCTGGAATGGTGAAGCAAAGATGAAGGTTACAATCCAACACTTTTGTGATTAGCTTTCCGGATCCCTAAATGGTGAGTTTGATTAGAAGATTATAACTTCATTGGTGAAACTTTAGAGAACCATTGATTAGAATCTTTCCGTCTAAATTTTCCGATTGTTCTTTTGAGTTTGATTATTCAATCTCACATCATATTGGATTTTTGTATTTCAGACTACGACTCCTTTGTTGCTTGCATTTAATTAATTTTTTATTAGTTGTTTTTGTTTAAACTTGCTGCATATGATTTGGGGTTGCTCAAAATGATCTGGAAGTTTCATTCCATCTTAAAGTTACATTCATATTTTGCAGATTTTTGAAGGTTGAATACAAAAAATCTCTCTACATAATTGCAATACTTTGAGGAGGAGCATTTTCCCGCTCAAGTTTTCAGGGTCATTTCAGCCGTACGATTAATTAATATAGATCTAAGCCTTATACACTTCATTCTTTCTCTTCCCATGTCTCATCATTTTCGAGCTCCGGCTTCGATCCTCATCATTCTCCCTCACCACCGGAAACCAAATCCCTCAAAGGCACATGTTCGTCTTGCATTCGCATTTCTTACCTTATATCTTATCGCTGCTCTTATTCCTCTCCTGCTCCACCAATCAAACCTACCCATCTCATGCTTTCTCCCTCACGTACCCCTTTATCTCTTCGCTCTTGGCTCCGATTTGCTTCTGGGTTTTGCCAAATTTTCTGAAGAGGGAAAACCTATGTTGGGATGTGGAGTGTGTGGCGGAATCCTTCTGGAATGGTGAAGCAAAGATGAAGGTTACAATCCAACACTTTTGTGATTAGCTTTCCGGATCCCTAAATGGTGAGTTTGATTAGAAGATTATAACTTCATTGGTGAAACTTTAGAGAACCATTGATTAGAATCTTTCCGTCTAAATTTTCCGATTGTTCTTTTGAGTTTGATTATTCAATCTCACATCATATTGGATTTTTGTATTTCAGACTACGACTCCTTTGTTGCTTGCATTTAATTAATTTTTTAATTAAACAATATATAAAGCCGCCGCTGCTTTGTTAAATAAAGCCACCTATTATTTATAATTCCCATTGTACCCTTCTTCTAAATAACAACACCTGAGCGGCTGAGCATCTAATTCAGAGAGATGTTTGAAGACCGGCACATAACCCTCCTTCGGTACAAAGTCCGCTAACCGGAAGCAAACTGTTCTGGACGACGAGCACATAATCCTCCTTCGGAAAATGCCGGTAAACAGGACATCGCGAGAACTGGGAAAATAAATCACTTTGAGTAGTGTTGTACTCTGTATTTGAGTGAGAAGAAGAGCGGAAATGGGTTTTCCACAAAGAAAGAAGATTGTACAGAGTATTTTGTGGAGCGTCATGATCTTTGATTGGGGAGGAGATGGAAGCCACAAAAATCCATATATATTTCTTCTATTGCACTGCAGAAGTTAAATCCATACATCCAAGTACGACAGCAATGCACATCAAGTGTTTTCCATAAAAACAATTGCCACTTTGCCAGTATAGAGACAATATGGCTTACAATATGTACATGATCGATGTTATGCATTCCTTGTCGACTGATATCTTGAGTATGAGAGCCTCAAGATATATTGAGGCTGCCGAGTGATCGTTGATATCTGGCGTGAGTATTTCAGGATATTAGTTTCTATATTATTTTATTAAGGGCAAATTGGATATTTTAAGTAATTGGGGGCTGTAGTTAGTAATATGGGGATTGTGAATAGAATTACCCATATTTAAATCGTGAATTTTTTTTGTATACCCAACTTTCAATTTCACGATCCATCACCGGTGATTGCGGTGAACACAACGTGCAAGCCCACATCATTATTTCATCTTATTGTGTAACTAGTTTTCAAGCCCGTGCATCACATATACTACGTACAATGTAATGCAAAAACAAAATAAACCCAGTCTAAATATAGAGTCCATTTGATAATACTAAAATGAGTTGAATCAACTTATTTTACTGAAATAGATTAAATTCTGGCTGAATGGGTTGAATAGACGGAATCTCGCGAATCATGAAGATATATATATATATATATATATATATATATATAGAATAAAAAAAATTATATTTGAAAAATAATTAAAATGATCTTCTACATAAGCATCTCAACTAAAAATAGTTGTTGTGAATTTGATTTTAAAGAATTCAGTAATTCACAAAGAAACTCCTTAATTAATCTCACATCCTCTAAATTACTTTATTATGCACCTAAGAATATTTTATTTAATATTCCTCATTCAACCAGGTATAAAATATGGAGTACATACTATACATTTAACTTTTAAAAGTAAGATCTTACATTTTACTCACTATTTTCTCACATTAAAAAATGTAAAAAATGGTGTTTTTTACATTTAACTGATTATTTCGTCACATTGAAAATGTCATTACTAAGGATGCTTTTAATTGAATTAAAATTTCTGGGTTTGATTTGGTTTGAACTCTGAAGTAATATGGTCTGTTAGATGTCTGTTTTACATTTTATGCGTCCTATTATTGTTATCATCATCATCATCATCATCATCATCATCATCATTAAAGTTTGATTTGAACTGATCTAGTTTGGGTCTGAAATCAATCCACTTAAAAACATCCAAAAAGTATTAAATAAAATTAGGAACTTGTAAACATATAAAGATTTCCTAATTTGGATTAGGAATCTATTTCAAAAGTGAAGACATATTTAAATTGTAGTTGTAAAAATAAAGAAACAACCAAACATATTTACATTTTTGGCTAGGCTAAACGTATTTACTTGTGTATATATATATAATACACGTGTGCGCGCACACACACAAGCATATAATGAATATTGCATTTTTTTCAACACACCAATGCACTTTTAATTTAGCGAGTCCAATAAAAGTGAACCATATTTTTGCTTTAAAATTTGTTCTGATCCTTCAATTTTATCAATTTAAAGGTCTAGATTAATTCTTATTTTTCACCCAGAGATCATTTTTTATTTGAATCAATCCCTATATGTGTGTATGTGTACGTGTGTGTGATATCAATATTCATCATTATTAAATAAAAGTAAGCTACTTGATCAGAAATATTCTTTTTAAATGATTCTATATTTGAATGTCTAATAGTATTAATTTCGTTTTTAATTTCAACAATCTGGTTGTGATAATTTTCATCATTGTGTTAATAAATTAAGAAAGAATTGTATGAAGATGAAAAAAAATATGAAGTATTAAAACAATTGTTGGGGCTTAGAATCTTAATCATTATCTCAATAGTGAGTTTAAAAAAATAAAATATTACGGAGTACATTTTTGGAAATGCGACGGTATTATTACAAGTTTTTATTTTTATTAAATATTTTTGAAGACAAAATTAATTACAATTTGAGTGATTTCTGTTAAGTGTTAAGTGGGCAAAAAACAGATAAATCATTTCCTCAATAGAATGTAATAAAAAAAATAAGTATAAAAGCAATCAAATAATTTTTATTCCTGCATGCTACAAGTAATTTAAAGTACTCCGGATATTATATAGTTTATGTGTATGGTTGGTTATTAATTGTTATGGTTCCAACTACCGAATTTAATGTAGTTATCAAATATGTAGTATGTAATAAGTTTGGAAAAATTTACCAAATAAGGTAAATATCAATCTTACTGTATTTTGTTTCCATATCAATATGCAATTAAAAATAGAATCTAATAAAAATAAAAGGTATAAAGATAACTAAATAATTGTTATATATGATGACCGAATGACATGGCAGGATTATGTGTCGCTTTGTATGCTTTTAAAAAATTCCTCTTATATATATATATATTGATTTTGAATAACAACTTGTAATCAATATTAGATTGGTTGTTTGGACTTTGGAGTCCAAAAGAACTTTTTGTGTAGTTTGTAGATGTATATATATATACATATACTTTTTATTGCTAGTCATAATTAAATAGCGTAAGTTGTATAGTAAAGAGTTGCAGAGAAAAATAGTACGGAGTATGAAGTATGAACCACAAATTCTTTATTATTATTAAAGGAAAATGAAGTTTATTGGACACAATAGAAAAGTGAAAGATAAACTTGGGATGATCCCATAAAATTCTCTAACTTATTTTAGGATGTCCCCAAAAAATCTTCTCATTCTGTGTAGCTGACATTTATTTACTTTTTTCTTACGCAACTATAATTATTGATTTCCACTTTATTCACCCTTTCTTAAACTCCGACCCAAATTAAAACAGAAAGAACAAAAAGCATAATTATCCTGTACTTACTTTTTAGGCTACTAAAATTTAACCATTTAAAATGTGCAAAAGCGAGCTTACATTATAAGCAAACGTAGACAGAAGGAGGAGCATTTGATTGGATCTTGAACAGGTGAGGGAGGCGGTGGCACACCCAGAACTAAAAACAGTGGGGGATATTCATTCACATTTTAGAGTAGTGGTTTTTTTCACATATCCGACCGTCCTTTACACACATTAATTACCCTCTTCTTTCACTTTTTTTCATTGTTTGTATGAATAATTAAAAAAAGCAATTCAAGCATATGCAAAAATGTACACGGAAGCAATTCAAAATAGATTTTAGACTTGCAGAAAGCAAGTTGTAGATGCTTGCTTGCTCTTTCTTTTTCACCACAAACTCCTTGCAGAAAGGATGCAATCATATTTCCAGATTGAATTTATTCTCCAGCAAGCCTAGCATCCTTCCATGAGCTTGAATTGGAGGATTTCAGTAACAGGCCAAGTGATGCAGAGCAAGTTGCTCTCACAATAGCATCTCCCGAATGTCTCATTTTCCCCACCAATAC